AGAACACAATTTTTTAAGTAAATAGCTATATTCAAACCACGCAAAAAATCTTTATATTTAAAATTAATACATGATGGTGTTTTAATATCTTTCTTTTTTATGTTTTCTAAGATTATGTTTGATTTTCATGTTTCAATAGAATAATAATCTTTTATTTCAAAACATAGCATTTTTAAAAGTTTCCCTGAAAATACATTTCTATTTGAAGGAAAAAATATCAACTTAAAAAGAAAAATCCTTTAAACCAGCCCAAATTTCCAACCAGATAATGTCAGAATAAAAGAAACCTCTAATAGCTACAGTTGTTATTACAGAGGTTCTTTTGCTGGTGTTGAAAAAGTAAAACACTAGTACAAGCACTGGCACAAAGTCAGTGCCCTCTGAAGACCGCTCAGCTCAGGAACAAGCTGAAAACACTGTGATGAAATCACAGTGAGGAAATAAGGACAAAAAAGCCTTCAGCTCCCTCTCTACTAATAACAATAGAGGTTGTTATTTATTTTTGGGTGAAGCTCAAATAACTTTTTAAAAAAGATTTCCCTTCAGCATTGTTAATTACTGTAACTACTCCTCTAACCATTATTCTTGTTATAAAAATCGTTCCTGCTACCAAAATAAACTGTTACTTAATTGGGCAGTGAACAAATCACAGCACTATATCCCTTTTAGCAGCTGGACAGCGAAGAAGTGATATGGTTGCAACTGTGTGTGCCCAATTCTTTATCAATCTCACACACAGCAACAAGCGTCCTCATAAAGTGGAAAGGATGCACAAGTGGATTAGGAAAAACTGTTAAGCAAATCGCTGCTCCGTAGCTTGTCCTGTAGACTCATAGCATTTGGAGATTATCTGAGCCATTTGGCTGAGGAACCGTTACTCCATTACTCCATTGCTCCACAGAGATCAGCTGTGCCAGTCCTGTCTGTAGTTATCTTTCCTGGAGACTGTGTGATCTGTGCTTTCTAAGAAAGTTACACTGAATCTTCCTGGTTTTATTTTTATAATCACTATTTCTATTCTGAATGAACTGGAAATTGTGTGGAAACGAAGGAGAGATGTGATCTCACTACCCTCAGACTATCTTTCAGACCCATCAGGCTTTCAGATGAACAGTGGAGGTGTTTCTAGCAAACCAGCACAGAATCATAGAATCATAGAATGGTTGAATGGTTTGGGTTGGAAGGGACCTTAAAGATCATCTAGTTCCAACCCCC